ATCCTGTCTTTTAAGAAATTGTGTTGTTAAAATGTTTGGCATATGTATTTCCTCGTGGAAGGCTAGATTTTTTTTAATTACTTACATACTGTATTTCTATTAAAATATAATCTCAATGTTGCAGTTGGTGATATCTCATTTTTAAATAGTTTTTAAATGGACCAATTATTGAGTTGTGGGCAATATAGCCTCAAAATTATTTTGTATTAACTAGTATCTACAATATTATTTATAATGATATAAAAATTTTAAAAAGCATGTAACACTTTATATTTGCAGCTTGCAACATTTATTAGTGCTAACAAGTAAGAAGTATTTACCAACATTTTTCTTTCTCTAATTCTTATAAAACGACCTGCCTATGATGACAGGGTTAATGTTTTGCTATAAGGTGCAAATATTTCTGCATTAGCACAAACATCATTAAGTTTAATGCAAGATACGTTTTTCCCAGAAATCGTCTTTAAAAATATTACATTTGAGAAATAAAATTTCACACAAAATTACTTAATTACTTAAGTGAAGCAGAGTCTGAGTAATAGGTCAGCTTACAGTTTCCTGAAATGTTTAAAATTATAAATGTAAAAAAGCACCAGCATAAACAAACCTTCTATGCATCAAAACCTCAAACAATATGTAACTTCATCATAAACTGCTCAAACTTTCAGTCATTTCACAGTTAAGACCGCAACTCTCGGATGAGTCATGTGTGTCTTCATCAAGCGTGCCTTCATTTTATTTTTTTTCTTCAAAAGAAGAAACTAATTGTTTCTACCTGTAGCTGCAATGATTTTACTGCTTTTAAAATAGTCTGTGATAGAGGTCACTGAAGTAGGTTCCAGAGGGAAAAAGTGCTCTTTTCACTACTAAGGTCTACTTATTGCACAAGTGCCAAGAACAGACATTTTGGTCCAGGTAATGATACGCTTGGACACATGGCTGCGTTATCGTCATGTCACTGATAGTATGACATGACACTTTTTTATAATGCAGACAGCTAGCTACTGTAGACAGCACAATACGACACAATCCTACAGTTTAACAGTTTCGTTTTAACCTTTTTTTAACATCTGTTCTGCATTACGTACTGTTGTTTGATTTAAAAAAAAAGAAATTACAATGTCTTCATAAAAATGTGACAGGCTTCCTGTCTGTAGTTTTAAAACTGTAAAGCATTAAAGCCCCCTCCAATGTAATTTTTTTTAAAGTATTGGGTATAATTTTTATATTATTTTCCTATATTTCTTACTCTCATAAAGCAGTAAAAGTGTCATTCTCTTTCATTTGCACTCCCTTCGTTTGGGTCTTTTATCATCTCTCCTCAGTTCTCTCTTATTTTCTGTAGGACAGCCTGGCGATTATATACCCTATCTTCCGTCTTGAAGCTTATTAACCTTTTTGTTGGAATATTTGGAGCATAAAAGACTTCATTAAATATTTACATATGCAGTAACCACTATGGAAAAATTAAAAAAGCCAAAGTTTTATTAACCTGTAGTAATATAATGTCTACTCTTGGCCAGGAATAAAAGGTCTTTTTTTTGCACATTAAAGCTTTCTGTAGCGCATAATAATGTATGGTAAGAAGGCTCCACGTGCATAGATTAACTCTGCTTTAATATAACATTAGGTTTCCCTAAACTAGCTTTATCATAGAATTATGCTTTTAATATGAGGTGTGGAGAGGAGAGCGAGGGGAGAAATGTTGTGCCTGCAGAAATAAAGCATTGCAACGATCCTTAATTATCCGCGGCTGTATGTGTTGAGACGTTCGTGAGGACTTCAGAAAAATTCACACACTTGCATTTCATAAATATATTACAAGCTGCAGTATAAACGCCTGTCCCTGCCAGCTGGGGCTGACCCTCGTGGCTCCATAGGTGTAGTTGATACGCAACACTCAACCATTCAAAGAGGGACTAAGTGGCTTTCAATTATTCAAACATATATTTAAGGAATGCTCCTTAATGCTCGATATCACCTACTCCTGCTGTTCCACTCCTCTGCTTTTGGATTGCGAGCGATATTTCACCGCTCGAAGCGGAGTCAAAACTCGATGAATAGTTTAGATTTTTCTCTGTGGACACATCGTTTGGCACCAATATCTCCTTCCTGTCTGCCGCGGTTCTGTAAAAATCATTTCCTTTTGTTCTCAAACTCTCCGATTGCCTGAGAGCCGGTGCTTTGATTCTGGCCGTGATGCGTGCGCGCATTAGCACTTTGCTTCAGACCTGCAGAGCTGAAGGCAAACTGCACGTGTTCAGCTCATCCGAGGGAATTACTGCAGTTATTTCAGATGGGTAATTATTGGCAGGGCCAAGGCCAGACAGATGAGCAAACAAAATAAAATCCGACATTATGGAGTGTTAAACTTTCAAAAAGGGTCAAAATCCTTTCCATATTAAAGTACTTTTTTAGCCGTTTAATGCTTTTTGTTGTGTATTTGGGGTTTCTAGGAGTGCAGAAAAGTTAAATTTAGTCTCTTCAGGTGCTGCGTAGCAATCTTTATATTCTTTTTGGGTCATATTTTTCAACCGGTTCAATTTTCTCTAGTTTCTAAAACATTTTCTGAACAAGGAGTCAAACTATTTGCAATGGAACTGCCAAATAAAGTCTGGATTTATGTCTTTATTCTCCTCTTCCACTCTTGGTCTGACTCTAGCTCCAACATGTAAGGCTCGATGGACATGAAGTCTTCCCTTTTGACATCTTTTATTAATTTGTAAATAAAACATTTCAGTACTGCTAGACATTGCTCCGTATATCAAGCTTGGATGAACCGTTCTGGAAGCTGGAGGGTGGATTGTATCACCAAGTACCAAAACAGGTTGCTCTCAGACACGCCTCAGAAAAGGGGTGAAAGAGGGGATGTAAGGTTACAAAAAGGAGGGATTTCATTAGTCCCACTTCATATAGACCCCAGTTGAAGGATTTAAATGTGAAAAAGTAAGATTTAAAAGCATATTTATTTAGCTTATTTAAACTTTCCTCCCATTAACAATTTCTACTTAGTTCAGTCGTAATTCCAGCATTTTCCCCATTTTTTTGTTGTGGTCTTTGATAGCACACATCAATAATTGTCTAGTAAACATAATTGCCTGTGTATGACTTGATTTACAGTTAAATATCTGTCATGTCTGAAAGTTAATGTTAAGTGTAACGCAAAATAATTGAATTTCACAAGAAAGCAAGCCCTATTTTACTTTATTTAGCCATTTATTTATTTATTATTAATTATGGCATAGGTGAAAGGGCAGGGGCGTCTTGAGAAGATGCGAAAATAGTCAACGTGGGAAAATATCACCAAAAAGCCAGCGAGGTTATTCTACTGCTGCCATACCACTGAACACATCATTAATTAAGCACTTCCCCGGGTTTAAATTGGCTCTGTCTCGATGTTTCACGCGGCTGATCGGAGGCCTCTCCAAAAACATTTTGAGAAAGTCCAACTTTTACGGCATTAAAAAGATTCGAGAAAAGAGAGAGAGAGAGAGAGAGAGAGAGAGAGAGAGAAAAAAAATTCCTCCTTCGATTTAGCGGTTCAAAAGAATAGCAGAGAAGGCAGAGTTAGTCAAAGACAAGTGGTCAAAACAGGACCCGGAGTGGGGCGGCGAGTGAAAGGGAAAGAGAGCTGCAATTACGGCGCATGATGAAAAGCTCGGCAAAACAATCCGAGAGAGAGAGAGAGAGAGAGAGAGAGAGAGAGAGAGAGAGAGAGAGAGAGAGAGAGAG